CCCAATATTTTATCAGTTAAATTTTTTTGATATCTCTAATGGGTATTGAGATAATTGAGCTCAAAGTTGACGGTTTGTGTGGGCTTCGTTCAGAAAACACGGTACCTGAAGCTCTAATTGTAAAACGGTATTCTGTGAAAGTTAGTCGAAATAAACTCAAGATTAAAACACATTTACACAGTACAGGAAAGTTTCTTTTCTTTCTAAATTTATTTTTAGCAAAAACCGCAAGACTCGAATATTCCATTTTTCATATGCTTAACAACGAAACAGAACCTATTCTTCTTCTCACATTTCTCTAAATAATGAATCCATGCTTATATGATATTAATGTATCTTCTTCTAATCCTATACACATTTCCTTCTCCTTCTTCTTCCGTCTCTCATTCCATTTCAAAAAGAAGTACATTGAATGGTTGACTAATTGCCAACACATTCACACTTGGCAATTCTTCTTCTTTTTCTTCACAGATATTTCTGAAGATGTCGAGGACGAATGAGAAGAAGAAGAAGAAGCTGTGCGAGTGCTAATTTATGTGGCACATGCTCAGAAAAAGGGACACGTCTTCTTCTTCGTTTCCTTCTTGTCGTCGTCACTCGTGAAGGATTGACCATTTTCTCTAAATTGAAGAATTATGAATAGACAAAAAGAAGAGGAGGAAAAAAGCAGGAAGGGGAAAAAGGCGTTAAAAAGACATGAAGAACAAAAAAGGAGGATCTGGGAGACCCATCGCCTCGGCCGCCGAAAAAATGCTCCGAAAGTGTGAGAATATGAAATTGGAGAAAGAAAAACTGGGGCCAGTAGTGGGGGCTCCTCTCGTTTTAGCTTTCACTCCAATTGATTCATTTCCTTTTTTTTTCTTTCCATAAAATACTCATTTTATGAGCTCGTTTCCCTTAAGATTTTTCATAGAAATGAGAAGGAGCAAAAAGCTTATTCGATTAGTTTTGACTTCTTCGCGCATCCCTTTTTCCTTTCTTCTTCTTTTGCTCTAGACAGTGAAAATTCAAGGATCCTGACTCTGAATTCCAAAGGAAATGTCAAATCAAATTAACTAGAACGTCATTTAATCAAATATTTTGAAAACAGTAACCAAACTTAGAAAAAACACTTTAAAAAAGTTTTTTGTAGAAAAGTACATTTCGAGTTCTTTGTTCTGCAACTTCTGGAACAGCAAAAATGAGATGAAACTTGAAAAAAGCACAGTAGTCTAAACATTTCTCTCTAGATAAAATATTTTACGGTCAAATGAACTTTCAAAAAAAAATACCTGATCCCGGAATTCTAGAAATATCCAGAATTTTAGAAATTTAAAAATTCGAAGATTTCGAAATTTCAGAAATTCCATTGTCTGAGCCTCGAATATTTTTTTTCAAATTTTAAGATTTCAATTCTGAAATTTCCAGAAAAATGGGAAATTCGGAAATTAAAAAATGTCAAATTTGGAAACTACAAAAATCTTTTTAAAAATTATAAAAATCGTTGAAAAATCTGAAATTTGAAAATTAGAAAAGGGGGAAACTCGGAAACTCAAAAATTGGAAATTTAGGAATTCAAAAAATTTGAAAAATCGAAGAAAATTTAAAATCTCAAAATTTCAAACATTATGAGTTTACTTTTGAATTTTGAAAATTTCAGATTTTCGTATTTGTAGTCCCCGAAAACCCCATTATTTGATAAAAATAATAAAAATAAAAAATAACTGTTTTTAAAATAAAAGTGATTCACATAAAAACCCAAAAAAAACATTGTGCATAAAAATAATCTCAATGATTCAGAAACAAAGTTTATAAAATTATAGCACAATTTTTCAAAAGGAAAATGTCAAAATTCGAAAAATTTTTGAACTTTTGAAAGTATAATCTCGATTCAGCAACACGGAAGGAATAAAACGAGAAGAAGCTTTTTTTACTTACTCATTAAATGAAAAAGTACTGCACTTCTGAATTTCAAACCTAAATCTCCAACCCTCTTAAATCTAATATTCTTCAAAAAATCTACAGTAATCTATCCCATGTTCCTTCTCCTAACAGTTTCCTGACGAACCTTTACTTGATGTCCTGATTCTTGTTCCATCTCTTCCGGTGTGAATATCAAATTACCTTTTCCGTCTTTCGTCTTCTTTTCAAACAACTTCCGTTGTTTTAGATTTCAGTTACATGCCATATTGACACATATCATTTCATTCCCCTTCCCATCTTCATCTTCATTCATCATATGGAAGTCTTATCGACTCTCATTTTCCCATGGAGGCGGTAAGTATCAAATAATGAAGGCGTCGTAGAGGAAACATACTCTCTATCATTCATCTAGTATATATCCACCAAACATAGAGTTTTTATAATAATAATAATAATAATATCTCTTTCTACAACGGACTCTCTCCCACTCTATCAACTTTTTCGCCCCGTTTCGGCTCGTCAATTCGCCCCCGGTTTCTCTCCTTTTTCTTCTTTTCCTTCTTCCCTTTTTTTGCACTCATCAAAAAGAAATAATCGGAGACACACGGGACGAAACGGCGACAAAGACTTTTCTCTTAAAGCCAACGACAGCACACACTCACCCGTCACAATTTCCAAATCGAGGAAGAAAGAATAAGAAAAGTTTCTTCTTCTTCTTCATTTCTTTTTTTGAACATTTCTTTTTCTTCTTTCTTATTCGTTGCCAATGGATTCCTCGAGCACTTCAGCCTCATCTTCTTCTTCCTCGCCATCTTCACGGTCGGTTTTTTTGTATAGCTCAACCTAATTCAGAACTCTAAAATCTAGAAAACTCAATTATTGGTCCTACCAGGCTTTGGGTAAGATATGCAAAACGAGGAAATCCCTTGTTCTCTGCTCCACGGGATTTTGACAGATTGCTAGTCAATTTGTTCTGAGTTTTTTTACTTGCTCACTCTCTTTTCTTTTTTCGCTTTTGTTTTAGTTTTGAAGAAAAGAGTAAAAGAACAAAGGAAAACATTCCTTTGAACTTATCAATTTGAAAAGTTGAGTTTTTGAA